CACAGCACCACTTCCCGGCTTTTTTCTTTTTGCTTATGTGGTGCTGAGGAATCGAACCCAGGGCCTCAGGCATGCAAGGCAAGCACTCTATCACTGAGCCACCTTCCCAGCCCCAGTTCCAAGATTCTTATTTGGAACAATAAACAAAATAAAAATACTCCCAAGCCCTAAAATTATTTATTTATTGTAGGTCATGGGGCTTGAACTCAGGGTCCAAGCAGTGACCCTGAGCTTTTGTGCTCAAGGCTAATACTCTACCACTTTGAGTCACTGCTCCACTTCTACGGAGAACCATTTATCTTTTCTTTTTAGTTGGTCATGGGGCTTAAACTTGGGGCCTGGGCTCTGTCCCTGAGCCTTTGTACTTATAAAGCTAGCACTGTATCACTTTGGGCCACAGCTCCAGTTCTACAGACAATTATTTCTTCACCAAATAAAACTGCATTTGGAGTTATGGTGTAATGGCCTTAGGGGTAGCGAACCTTTTTCTCCCAAGGGCCATTTGGCTACTTAGAACACCACTTAAGAACCAAATGAAATCATTAGTACAAGCAGAGGGCCATGGGCAGCCAACAAAAGGCATCCCAGTTGGTCCCATTATGTACCAGGCAATTCTTCCCGTATTCTAAGACCCCTAAGCTGGATGTTTTCCAGCCATCAGGACCTAAATAAAACCAGTATACACTAGTTCTAGTGTCCTTAAAATAGGTGGCATGTTTCTGAAAACTCAATTTTTGTTTTTCCATCTTTATACATACTTGCAATGTATTTCAAGACTACTCAGCCTCCATCTTTCTTGTTCCCTTTTCCCTATCCCCCTAACAGCCTAATAGAATCATTTACATACATGCCCTTGAATATATTCTGAAGACTGTCCAAATATCCCACCACTATTCCATTTGATTGCATGCAGTACTCTTCTTCCTTTTTCCTTAAGAAGGGAATATAGCTTCAGTCTTCTCGTCTTCTTCCCTTTCTTGCTTCTGGGAAGTAATGGCTACTTCTTCATTGCTTGGAGAGATCTCAGTTGCTGTGATCCAATTATTGGATCACTGAGGCATTGGTCCTATGATAGATGAATGTGGGAAGAGTAACACAAATCCTCTAGCCATATGGCTGTCACAATACTGAGATCATTGGTTTTAAACAGTGTAGGTCACTGGTGATCCTGGACCTTCATCTCTAGTTCAAGTTGTTTGTCCATTCATGCAACGTCTACAACCAAAATTTCCCCCAGTTCTGTTGTAAGCTAGACAAGCCAGTTTACCAGTGAGCTATACCCCCAACACTTTAGTGTTCCAAAGATGTAATCTGACACTTGTCTTTTTTCAGCTACTTACTTCATTACTCTAAAACATACCATTTAACAGAAATAAATTATCACCATGATTCCTTGAGTCCATTTTTTTATTTAATACATATATATTTATTATTTTTTAATCAGTCACGGGGCTTGAACTCAGGGCCTCTCTCCCTGGGTTCTTTTGCTCAAGGCTAGTGCTCTATCACTTTGAGCCACAGCACCCCAGTTTTCTGGTGGTTAACTGGAGATGAGAGTCTCACAGACTTTCCTGCCTAAGATGGCTTTGAACTGTGATCCTCAGATCTCTCATAGGTATGAGCCATGCACCCGGCTTACAATATATTTCTGTTGGTTAAATACACCAAAGGCAGACTTCACAAAGTAGATCCTATCAATGAATTAATATTTTGTGAAAATTTTTTCAAAATGATGACAAATGCCCTTAAGACAAAAATGCCAAGAAACACACAAGAGTATAAGCAAGACAAAGCAAAATAATCATTGCATCAATTAGAAATATCCAGCCTTGACATTATGAGAATATCATCCTAAATAGGTAATGGCTTATGATGGATGTGAGAAGTTTAATAAAAAAAAAAGAAATTTCACAATAAATGCTTTTACAAGAATAATAAAGTTAGTTGTATGTAGATTTAATAGAGGAATAAGTAGCAAAAAGAGAAATGGCAGAATGCTGAGTTTCAGGTAATCTTCAGGATTGGCTAGCATGCAAGAAGCCCTGGATTAGATTCCTCAGTACCACATAAACAGAAAAAGCCAAAAGTGGCACTGTGGTTCAAGTGATAAGAGTACTAACCGTGGGCAAAAGAAGCTCAGGGACAGGGCCCAGACCCTGAGTCCAAGCCCCCGGACTGGTAATTAATTAATTAATTAATTAATTAATTTGAAAGTTCCTTTGCTGAGCCCAGTGCTGGTGGCTCATTCCTGTAATCTTAGCTACTCAGGAGGCTGATCTCTGAGGATCTTGGTTCAAAGGCAGCCCACGCAGGAAAAGCCAAGACTTTGATCTCCAGTTAACCACCAAAAGCTGGAACTGTGGCTCAAGTGGCAGAGCAATAGCACAAAAGCTCATGGACAGTGTCCAGACCTTAAGTTCAAGCCCCAGGACTGGCGCGCGCGCGCGCGCACACACACACACACACACACATTCCTTCTGTAATTAATAAAAGATAATGATGACAATCAGGAGACTTAGATTCGTTTGTTTTAATTTTGTATATCAATTACACATAAATACTCAGGGAATCTTTTCTATGAAAAAAAAGTTGGTCTAATTCTCCTTTCCTTCCTCTAGGTTTTTGTTTTTTTTTTTGTTTTTGTTTTTGGTCGGTCGTGGGGCTTGAACTCTGGGCCTGGGTGCTGTCCCTCAGCTCTTCAGCTCAAGGCGAGCGCTCTACCACTTGAGCTACAGCACCACTTCCGGTTTATTGGAGATAGGAGTCTGCCCGGGCTGGCTTTGAACCGAGATCCTCAGATCTCAGCCTCCTGAGTAGCTAGGATTACAGGCGTGAGCCACCAGCACCCGGCCTTCCTTCCTCTAGATTTTTGAGGAATTTATTTAACATTCTAGTATATTTACATCTACTCAGACTTCATACTCCTCACAGTTGTTCCAATTTAGTTCCAGACTTAATTTCAATGAAGCCATTTGAGTAATATAGGTTGATCTGATCAAAGCAGCAACTGCATAAATGCTCGCACCTTTTTCCATTGTACAAACTATCTTATATGTTGATCACATCAGAAAAAAGTAAAGAGAAAAGTAAGGTTTTCAACTTTGGATCATAACACTGATTAACACTGATTAAGACTGGGGTTCATGCTGCATTTTAAGGCAATTCGTCATTAGAGTATTGTATCAAAATGCTCAGAAAATCTGGAACACCTGACAAAATGGCAAGTCAGCCATGTTTCAGTAGAGGTCCTATAATTCCATTCATTTTCATGAAAAGTTCATTGTACCACTAATGCATAATATCCAGCTATGACCAACAAGTCAAAAACGTGGTAGAGCTGATAATCCAATCACAGAAGCAGGAAGATTCAAATTACATGTAGAATATACAAATAATATAAAATATGGCACAAATAAACCTGAAAACAAGTACATTCACTGTCTTAGGAACTTGCAAAGTCAGACTTGCTTTCATATGAATGTAGTGACTACATTGCTTATAGTACATTTTTGTTGTTGTTGTTGTCAGTTGGTTGGGTCTTGAACTCTGGGCCTGGGCACGGTCCCTCAGCTCTTCAGCTCAAACCAGTGCTCTACCACTTGAGCCACAGCACCACTTCCGGCTTTCTAGTGGTTTATTGGAGATAAGAGTCTCTTGGACTTTCCTGCCTGGGCTGGCTTTGAACCAAGATCCTCAGATCTCAGCCTCCTGAGTAGCTAGGATTACAGGCATGAGCCACCAGTGCCCGACTTGCTTATGGTATTTTTATAGTTGAACTATATTAGTATATTTTTAAAAGTAGTAAGTCTTTTTTTTTTTGTCGCTCGTGGGGGCTGAACTCTGGGCCTGGGTACTGTCCCTCAGCTCTTCAGCTCATGGCCAGTACCCTACCACTTGAGCCACCGTGCCACTTCTGGCTTTTTTCTGCATATGTGGTGCTGAGGAATCGAACCCAGGGCCTCATGCATGCAAGGCAAGCATTCTACCACCGAGCCAACTTCCCAGCCCAGTAATACAACCTTTAATTTCTGTTCCCCACCCTGTTCTTTGGGGTTTTTTTTTGGTGCTGGTTCTGGAGCTTGAACTCAGAGCCTGGTGTGCTGTCCCTGAACATTTAGGCTAAAGGTTAGCACTCTTCCACTTGAGCCTCAGCTCCATTTCTGGCTTTTCAGTCGTTAAGTGAAGAGTCTCACTGTCTTTCCTGTTTCGGCTGTCTTTGAATTGAGATCCTCACACCTCAGCTTCCTGAGTGGCTAGGATTTCATGCATGAGCCACCAGTGCCTGGCTTTCCCCTAGTGCTTTTAAGATTGGCCTTCGAAGCCTGGTGCCAGTGGCTACTTGGGAGGCTGAGATCAGAGGATCAAGGTTCCAACTATCTCATCTCAAACCACTCAGAAACCTGGAGGTGGCTTGGTGGATCAAAGGGTAGAATGCTAGCCTTGAGCAAAACAGCTCAAGGACAGCCCCCAGGCCCAGAGTTCAAGACACAAGACTGAAGGAAAAAAACAAAAACTAACAACAACAACAAAAATCCTTTGCTTAGAGACCTACCCAGCTTTCAGGTCACTGACATTAAAACTCCTTTTCCTTTGTATGTGACCAAGCATCCGAGTGATTTTCTTGGGGAAGCCTTTCAACTATAACATCTGGAATCTACAGAAGAGATTTTCCTGCTCTACTTTATTTTGCAAGTACATTGATTCATGTCTTTTGTTTCTGAGATTATAAAAGTTTGGATAACCTCACCCACAAGCAGAAGTTTCAGGATAATGTCATTCTGTTTCTGGGCCATGGGAATAGAACCTCTTGTATTCTCTTGGAGCAAGAGCTGCGTCTCACATCAACCATTTAAAATTAGCAAAGATCGATTTCACAGTCCTAGATTAAACATCTCAGTGGTTCTGGGGAAATAGTGGCATTACTGGATCTGCTGTGCTTTCAAACTGAAAGATTTCTTTGCTTAGTGCTGTGGCCAAAGGAAAAAAAAAGTAACAAACACGAAGTAGTAATGCCTGCGTTTCTAGTTTGTGGAAAATGAATTTTATTAAGCATCCTTAAGATGATTATTATATAGCTTGCTCGGAACGCCCCACCCATCTGAAGTGTCTGACAATCTAAAGTTGTTGGAGACTCCTCAGAGGCAGCCAGCGGGCTTACACTTGGGAGCATTGGCCTCCCTGATCATCTTGTGTTTCTTCCACATCATTATTTCTGTGCTCCTAAGGATCAGCAGGATCTGGTGGTCACCTTTAAATTCATATGTAATCCTTGGGCCACGACAAGGTCACACTCCTGGGCCTGCTGCTGAACTGTCTCAGGCAAACACTGGGTGGTCTGCACACTCCATCCCGAATGTCAACGATGGTTCATTTTTAGACAAAAGCAGACCCCCAATAGGTCCCAATGGCCACTCACGGGGCGGGGGGGTGGAGGACCCCTCGGGTAGCCTGCTTACCTTGGTCCCTGAAACGTGCTGTTAGAAATTGATTTTCCTCAGAAACCACCAACTGGGTGCTCGTGAGATGTTAACGGGTGCCAGAAGGGGCGTGGGGTGGCCAGGGAGAGTGGGATTCGAACTTACGAAGGCCCAAACGAAAGACCTACCCTAACACCAGAGAAGAGAGGCTCGACGGCGCGGTGGGCGGAAGGGGCGGGCCCGGGGCTTCCGGGGCGGGCCCCCGCCGATGGCCCCCAGCGAGGGTGGTCCGCCCCTCGGGTCCCCTTCTCGGTGGTGGTTACTCTTGCCTGGCCCAGCTCATAGGCGAACGCTGTGGTGCTCGCCTTCTCCACTCAAGGATCCCAGGGCTGGGCCAGAAAGAGCCCGACGGTTATGGACACTGCGACCCTCGCGTCTCTTAGCAACGCCGCTGCGCCCCGGACCTACCGAGACGCTCACTGAGGTCCTGCCCACTGCGTGCGGGCCTCGGCCGAGGCCGTTGCGCATGCGCACGCGCGTGCCGCAGAGCTAGGCCGGCTGGCTGGCCGGTGGCCCCCCAGGGGTAGGTAGTTTGCTAAGGCTGAGTCCAGGGCGAGGGTGGAGAGTGCAGAGTGTAATGAAAGAGCCGAGGCTACTAGTGGTAGTGTGTGGTTCCTGATAGAAAGTTGAGGTCTGTTGGTGAAGGTAAAAGTGAAGTAGACATTGTGACCCCTCCCTAAAACGACTGTGTTCCCCACAAAGGCCATTTTGATGGAATGTGGCTTAGGGATGTAAGTTTGGGGCATATCGGGTGAAGCGATCTGAATCTGTAACAGAAGGCCCACAGGGTAAAAATTGCACACCTGTCCTGGAGCTGATATTATCCAGGCCTGACCTTTGTCTTGATTAATGATGTGTGTGTGTAAGTGTAATCAGCTTGTATAAAATCCAGGGTTTCACCTTCCTCTTGATCAGAACTTCTTCTGGCACTGGCCCTGTTTAGGTAACCAGGCAGGTCAACTCCTTTATTCTCTCTAAAAAGTGATCATATCTTTGCTGGTTTGCATTGGGCCTGACAATGAGTAAACCAACAATAAATGGTATCTATAGCTTTGTTTGTGTAACGACATCTCCATTATTATACCTAAATGCCATTTATTTTAGCGAAAAGTGATCAGAATTAGGAAATGTATTTGGAACCTGGAGCCATCAGGACTTGGCAATTGGAGGGAGAAAGAGACAATTGGAGTCCTGGGATCACCAGAAACAATAGTTAAAAGATTTTAAGAATTACTTGTTCAACACAGATTACATAAGCTAATAAAGTTAGTCAAAACAGATACTAAAAACAAAAAAGTCCCATTCACTTATTTGTAACTCCAAATTTATTTCCTCAGTCCAGGTCTTTCAAGCTCTGCTGCATTTGCTCACCCTTCTTCTCTCCATTTGTGCCCTCCCTATTGCCCTCCTCCCCCAAACATTTTTCTGAGGGGCAGTTTCTTTTGCTGTTTGTTTGGTGTGGAGAAGAGGTTTGAGGAAGCTGGGTTTTTTTTTGACAACCAAGTGGAGCAAACAGATGTGAGCTCACAGTGGTGGCTTAGATCTGTAATCCTAGCTTCTCCAGAGGCTGAGCTCTTAGGATCATGGTTCAAAGTCAGCCTTGGCAGGAAAGGTTTATGACTTATTGCCAATTAACAACCCAAAAAGCTGGAAGTAGAGAGGTGGCTCAGGTGGTAGAGTTCTAGCCTTGAGCACAAAAGCTAAAGGATAGTGCCTAGACCCTGAGTTCAAGCCCCAGGAATGGCAAAAAAAAAAAAAAGGAATTATTTCTGTTAGAATACATATTCCACATTCACCATTATGTCTTTAGTGTGCAGTACTGTGTTTGATATGCAACAGAGGATTTGTAACTATTGGTTATATTAATATTTCCTGGAGAACTGAAATCACTTCTAATTTTGATTAAAAAAAGTTCTGAGAACTGGTGTGCTTTCTAAACTCTAGTTCAGTGTCTTTCAATTTTTTACTTCATGAGAACCATGAGAAGAGGTGGGTTGCTGGCCGCTACCCCCAGTTTCTGATCCAGTGGGTCAAGACTGCAGTAGAAAATTATTATTTTTTATTTTTTATTATATATATATTTTTTGGCAGGGGTCCGGTCATGGGGCCTGAACTCTGGGCCTGGGCACTGTCCCTCAGCTCTTCAGCTCAAGACTACTGCTCTACCACTTGAGCCACAGCACCACTTCCAGCTTTTTTTCTTTTTGCATATGTGGTGCTGAGGAATTGAACCCAGGGCCCCATGCATGCAAGGCAAGCGCTCTACCACTGAGCCACCTTCCCAGCCCCTGCAGTAGAAAATTATTATTGAAGTATTATTATTACTATTACTATTATTCTGGGGTTTGAAATCAGGGCCTGGGCACTATTCCTATTCTTTTTTTGCTTAAGGCCAAGTCACTGCTCCACTTGTGGCCTTATTCACCTCAGATGAGAGTCTCGTGGACTTTCCTCAGCCTCCTGAGTAGCTAGGATTATAGATGTGAGCCAGTGGTATCTAGTGTGAATTATTATTCTTGACAAGTTCCTAAATGTTGTTGTTGATACGATTTCTGGATCCACACTTTGAGAAAAGCTGTCCTAAACTGACCTCTATCTTGTTGAAATCCCTCTCATTATTGGACAAGCTACAGATTGAACTGCTTGGTTTGGCCCTTAGTAGGTGCCAAGTGACCCTGCTTAATTGGCTCAGTCTTTAATTTCCTCTCTTCCTCATGGCTTCACCCTTGTGAGTCCAATATTGAAGTTTAGAGGAATGAGTCATAGTTTAATAAAGGCACACTTCAGAGATACCAGGTTTTTCTTTGCCTTGGAGGCTAGATTTAGCTGACTTGTTTTTTCAATGCAGTTTCCTCATCTGCAAAATAAGAACCCAAACTGTACTTACCTTATGGGACTGTTGTAGAGATAAAAAATAAGTATAGGGCTGGGAAGGTGGCTCAGTGGTAGAGCACTTGCCTTGCATGCCTGAGGCCCTGGGTTCAATTCCTCAGCACCACAAAAGCAAAAAGAAAAAAGCCGGAAGTGGCGCTGTGGCTCAAGTGGTAGAGTGCTAGCCTTGAGCTGAATTGCTGAGGGACAGCGCCCAGGCCCAGAGTTCAGGCACCACGACCAGACCCTTCCAAAAAAAATATAGGGCTGGGATGTAGCTCAGTGGCAAAGCATTTGCCTAGCAAGTACAACGTCCTGGGTTTGATCCCCAGTACCAAAAAAGAAAAGACAAAAAAACACAATTAAAAAAAATAAGTATAAAGCTTCTCACTCAAGCTGGGTGCCAGTGGCTCACACCTGTAATCCTAGCTACTCAGGAGCCTGAGATCTGAGAATTGTGGTTCGAAGCCAGCAGGGCCAGGAAAGTCTCCTGGAGACTCTTATCTCCAGTTAACCCACTCAAAAACCAGAAGTGGTGCTGTGGCTCAAGTGGGAGAGCACTATCCTTGAGCACAAAAAGGCTCAGGGAAAGTGCCCAGACCCTGAGTTCAAGTCTCACAACTGACAAAAACAAACAAACAAAAGACCCTTCTCACTCAAATCCAACGCCTGTGGGAAGAGACATCTCTACTAATTGATCTTTCCTTAATCTCCACATTTTTTTCAAGCATACTTCCTGTTAAAAATACTGTTATTTGTTGCCTTGACTTTTTCTATCACACTATATGCTCTTGATTGGGCATGCTAGACTTGAGAAAAAACAAAACAAAACAGCTAAGGGGACAGTGTCCAGGCCCTGAGCCCCAATACTGGCATGCACACACACACACACACACACACACACACACAACCACCACCACCACCCACCACCACCACCACCAACAAGTAACATTGTTGTGCACATTTTACAGTTTGATTAAAAACACTCACTGGAGGAATTTCTCTAGGTATTCTGTATTCTAAAACATATACTCTCTTCTGAAAAGCTTATTTTAGTCTTCAGATGCCAAAAAGCTGGGGATTGTGTCTCCCTCTTTTCTTTTACTTCTAAAAGAGCCAAACAAAGGATGTGCTCCTATAAGAGTACCTGTAAACTAGTCTTTACTAATTTCTGTCCTTTTTTCCCCTCACTCTATTTCCTTTATTCTTTTATATTATATCCCTATGGAAAGAAGAGGAGACAAATAACTAAACTGAGCATTATCTTGTCCTGTCTCTCCAGGAGCTCCAAATTCTGAGAGATTCTGTAGGTATGAGCCACTGCAGATTTTGTTGCTAAGCATGGACATGCTAGACCAAGAATAATTCTCCTTTATCTAGAACCATCCCCTTGAAATAAAGTCAAAGGACTTGCCAGTAGTAGCCTGGCAGAATATTTGACTTCAATTGTCAATTGTGACATCTATTTTTCTCCCTTCCTTTCCTACCTCTCCCTCTTCCTCTTTAAGATTTCCCAGAACCTGTACTTGAATAGAATTCTGGGAATCATGGCTACAAGCACAAGCTGATACACCCTTTGAGGATGGCATTCTGATTTCTAACTCTTCTAGGAAGAAATCGTTCCTGGCTTCATTCCCAGATCATTTTCTGTCTCCATCAAAGTATGGAGTTACTGTATTCTGAAAATCTATGGTCTCCAAACTGGTTGATCACTACTTAATGGCACATCTTAGTGAGCTCTGTAACTATCAAAGGTTTTGTCTCTGTGTCCTGCAAATCATGATTTCAAAAAGGCTTCTAATTGTTTAATCCAATTGATCAATAATACTGTGATGTCTAAAAAATAAAAAAAAATACTGTGAAGTCTGACTTGCTAGGAAGCAATGTCTGACTTACTAGGAAGAGATACAAAAAAGCCATTGTATGTATTTGATGGATGATCTCCACACACACACACACACACACACACACACACACACACACACACACAATTTTATTTTTTGTCGGTTGTGCGGCTTGAACTCAGGGCCTGGGCACTGTCCCTGAATTCTTTTGCTCAAATGCTAGCGCTCTACTACTTTGAGCTACAGCCTACTTCCCGTTTTCTGGTGGTTAATTAGTGATAAGAGTCTCATGAACTTCCCTGCCCCGGCTGGCTTTGAACCGCAATGCTCAGATATCAGCCGCCTCAGTAATTAGCATTACAGCCGTGAGCCACCAGTGCTCAGCTGCAATCGGCTATTCTCAGTCTGCTCACTTCCCTTTTTGGAGCACAAGCTCATGGTTATACGGATTCCCTCCGCGACAGGTCTTCACACGAACAACAACTGCGTTTCTTTTGTGGCAGAAAGAGACTCCGAGCAGGTGCTGCGGCTGGGCTCACTGCGCAGGCGCTCAGCGGGACTTAAAACTCGACGATTCTCCTCGGCGCCGCCCCTCTGCCTCCGGCCGCTAGGATTGGACGAGGGCTGAACTCGGTTGGCCAACGGCGAGGCGGCGCGCAGGGTCCCGGAAGTGGCGGCGCGGTGGGGCCGGGGTGGTCCCGGCTTCCGCGCCTAGCAGGGCTCGGCGGCAAGGTCTTGTCCTGGCTTCGGTGGCGCCATGAGCTCCTTCCAGGGGCAGATGGCCGAGTATCCCACCATCTCCATAGACCGCTTCGACAGGGAGAACCTGAGAGCCCGTGCCTACTTCCTGTCCCACTGTCACAAAGGTGAGTCCTCCGCGCCCCCAGTCTTGGGCTGCCGGGGTCAGAGGTCGGTACCGCCTTGCAGAACTGTGATCAGATGCTGCTATTACATTTTTGTTTTATTGTCTTACTTTTGTGTTGGTTCTGGGGCTTGAACTCAGCGCCTCACACTCTTCTTTGGCTTCTGTGCTGAAAGCTGCCTCTCCCACTTGAGCCCCTGTTGGGTTCTTCTGGTCGCTCTGCTAGTAGAGATGGAGATTTTTGAGGTTGACTGAGCTCTTCTCCTGTACTCCCCCACTTCTCTTGACCCTGTGTAAGAAAAACAGATTCCAGGTTAACCAGTTACACCCTCAAACGTTAGTTAGCAAGCACCCTGCCTCCTCCATAGACACAGCCAAACAACCTCCTCGGCTTGACCAAATACCAGCTACTGTTCATTTAGCTATCATCACTTACAGAGCTCGGGCCTGCTTTGAACTGGCCATCCTCCTGCCTCTGCCTGCCCAGGCATGCACCGCTACTGTTGGCTCCCCTCACTTTTCAGAAGTTCTGTCCATCTCCAACAGGAGACCGGTGGAGCTAGTCGTAGTTTGTTGTTAGCATTTGTTAGACTGACTCATGAATCACCAATTCTACCAACGAAAGCAGTTTTATTCACAGTGCTAATTAGCACAACCATTAGCACTGATGAGAAATCAAGATAAACTGGAATGCTCCAGTGGCAGCCTCTTCCAGTGCTACCTTCCACAACAGCTTGAGAAGGTCTGAACTCTACTGTAGAGGAGTGAAGCAGTCTCTCTCTCTCTCTCTCTCTCTCTCACACACACACACACACAGACCCCAACACTACATATACTTACCTAGTAAGCAGGAGGCTTTAAGTTAAATCCCAGGACTGGAGGAGAGGAGGGGAGAAGAGGGTGGGGAGGAGAAGAGAAAAGAAGAAAGCGAAGAAAAATAGAGGCAAAATAGTACTGTGATCAGTTGAGGGTCTGTGATGTTTCAGAATAATATTTGTGGTTTGGTTTTATTGAGAAACCACTGCTGGATGAGGATGCCTTGGTTTTTATTGTTTTGGGTTGAGTCTAGAATTCAAAGTGTGATAGCTGTTAAGAAGAAAATTCCTTAGTCCTGAGCCTCAGATTCCCTTAGGACCAATTGGGAAGGGGCTTAAGGGTGAGGGAGGATCCAGGATGCAAAGCTATAGGGTGCCACCTACTGAGTTAGTTCAGAAACATGAAGTACAATCTTGATTCACCTTCCTTTTTTTTTTTTTCCTCTGTGACACAGCTTCTTCGGAAATGGATTCCTGGTTGGGTTAGTGTTGCTGACTTCTTGGTTTTCACTGGGTACAGGAAGCCCCAATTATGTATTCCTGCAGTGGTGGTGGTAATTAAGAGATCAGACATGGTTTGATTTCGTTCCACAATTTAGAAGTGTTTGGTTGTCTAGGTCTTTACAAGCCAAGGATTTGGAAAGTATAATAATACATACTTTGTATAGAGTATTGCTTAAGGGTTGGCTTTTTCATTTGTCTCTGTGGATTGGAGGGTTGAGGCTCAAGTCTGCGTGACTGTGACATCCCACCTTTGAGTCCTGAAGTCACTGGAATGATTTCCTAGCAGAATCTCTGGAAGCAAGCTTGGAAGTCTAGCTGAACTAACTTTGTGGTAGAGACTGAGCGAGTTCCAGGGTGTTGTGAGAAGACAGTGAAGAGAAGGACTCTCAGTTCTCCACACATGAAATTTCAGTTCCTTCTTCTACCAAAAACTATTTCTGTTTCAGTGCTTGGAATCAAACACAGGGCCTCAAGTATTTCTAGGCAAATGCCCTACCCTCAACTATACCTCGACATTTTTCTTTCTTTCTTTCTTTTTTTTTTTTGGTGCTGATCCTAGGGCTAGAACTCAGAGCCTGAGTGCTGTCTCTAAGCTCTTTTGCTCAAGGCTAGCACTCTACCACGTGAGCCATAGCTCCACTTCTGACTTTTTGGTAGTCTCATGGACTTTCTAAATGCCTGGACTGGCTTTGAACTGTGATGGTCGGATCTCAGCCTCCTGAGTAGCTAGGACTTTTCAGTTTGATTGGTCTCACTGTGTAACCCGAGCTAACTTCAAGCTGATCTTCTAGGCTGTCTGGTGCCTGTCTGGGCTAAATTGCGTTCTTTTCTTTTTTAAAAAATAGCAGTAGTCTTGAGCACCAATAGATATTAGATAGGTACATGGAAATTTCTGATTAGGAAACACTTATCTCTTGCATAGTTCTAAGGTTACTTGGAGTTCTTTAAGGTTTTTTTTTAAAGAGGAAAAACATACATTTGCGATGTGATTATTTAATTTCAATGTAGTAGTTCAAGGGTGGACAGTGTTTAGTGATTCCTGTCTTTTTACCCAAAGGATTCATCAGCCAGTTGCTGGTGGCTCGTACTTGTAATCCTAGCTACTCAGGAGGCTGAGATCTGAGGATTACAGTTCAAACCCAGCCCAAGCAAGGAAGTCTGTGAGATTTTTTTTTTTTTTTTTGTCTGTCGTGGGCCTTGAACTCTGGGCCTGAGTGCTGTCTTTCAGCTCTTCAACTCAAGGCTAGCACTCTACCACTTGAGTAGATTCTTATCACTAAAAAACTGGAAGTTGAGCTGTGGCTCAAAGTGGTAGAGCACTAGCCTTAAGCAAAAAAAAAAGCTCAGGAACAGCCCCCAGGCCTTGAGTTCAAACCCAGTGCTTCACAACAACAACCAAAAAGGGTTTGTCACATAGAGAAGAAAGAGCCAGTGGTCAGTGGAGAGTGAAGGTCCTGTATTTTCTCTCACCAGGAACTTTAAGATGGCAGCTCCAGTGGCTGAGGCCAAGGAATCCTCTGATAAAGAACATGTTTATGATTCCTATTCTTTTGCTTGTAGATCACATGAAAGGATTAAGAGCTCCTACCTTGAAAAGAAGGTTGGAATGCAGGTAATAAGATACTGCTGCTGCTGCTGCTGCTGCTGCTGCTGCTGCTGAGTGTGGGTAATAATTGAGAGAAAATATCAGAATATCTAGACAGCACAGTACTTGCATCATAAGGGACAATGCAATGCGATGGACGTTTACCACCTGAGCTTATATCCAGATGGGAGGACTTGAACCAGTACCCGAATTCCAGGCCCTCTGCCTCCTCTCAGTCATCCTTCCTAAAAGATAACTTAAAAAAAAAAAAAAGATAACTTCTATTTAGGCTTTGTACCATGGGTTAGCTTCCATTGCTTTTGAACTTTCTTTTTTTTGGTCAGTTGTGGGGCTTGAACTCTGGCCTTGGGTACTGTCCCTGAACTCTTCAGCTCAACCAGTTGAACCACAGTGCTACTTCCAGTTTTCTAGTGGTTTATTGGAGATAAGAGTCTCAGGGGCTTTCTTGCCGGGGCTGGCTTTGAACAACGATCCTCAGATCTCAGCCTCCTGAGAACTAGGATTACAGGCATGAGCCACCGGCGTCCAGCTGCTTTTGAACTTCTGTGAAGAGAATCATACCCAATAGACTCTTATTTGTTTTTGCAGTACTAGGATTTGAACTCAGGGCCTTGTGCTTGCTAGACAGGTGCTCTGCCACTTGAGCCACACTCCAGTCTTATCATATTTACTTTCTTATACATAACTTTTATTTTCATGTGGTTCTTCCATACTAGGGCTGAAGCAACAACTCATTTGTTTTCATTTTATAGGAGTGTGTGTGTGTGTGCGTGTGAGTGTGTTTGGAGAGACAGAGAGAGACAGAGAGATAGAGAAGAGAGAGGATGGTGTTCCATTATCAAGAATTCTATGGTACCATTGTTTTATTTTCTTTCTTTTTTGGGGGGCAGGGAAGAAGTTTGAGCTCAGGACCTTAAGCCTACTAGACAGGTGTTCTAGGGTGTTGCGCCCCAACCCTTTTTATGTTCTTGTTATTTTTCAAATAAGGTCTTTCTTGTGTTTGCCTAGGACAGTCTTCTGACTTATGCTTTCTGGTGCAGCTGGAACTAATAGCATGCACCTCCACACCTGGCTTGTTGAAATGGGGTTTCATTTACTTTTTTGTTGAGACTCTTCCCAATGTCTGCCTCCTGAGTACCCGTCATTGAATATTTTCTTAAACCTGAATGATTGGATTCTCTTCCTGAAGTTGTTGCCTCAATCTGAATTCCAAATTCTCAAGTATTATAGCCTGGAGAGCTAGCTTCAACTGAAGTTCATGCAATGCTTCTACCATATTTTGTGATTTAGGCACTTTCAAAGATATGCTCAAGTTTAAGATGAGGTAGCTGCCTTTCCACTCAAAGAAGGATCTGGTTTTTGTTTAGTTTTGTTGTAGTGGGATTTGAACTCAGTGCCTTGGGCTTGCCAAACAGACACTTAACTAACCACTTGAGCCATGCCCTCAGGTCCAACGCCTGTGCTTTTGAGGGACATTTCAGTTCTAGACCATAACAGATATGTTGGGACTTCAGCTTAACACAAGAAATAGATTTCGGAGTCCCCAAGGTGACTCATTTTGGATCAAACTTAATTTTTTTGTCTTTTCCTTTCAGCTTGAAGGTTTTCTTGTACTGTTCTCCTGTTACCAAGGAGTTGCTGTTAACTAGCCCAAGATACAGATTCTGGGAGAAGCGAATAGTAAGTTTTGCTGTTTTGAATAATGTTAATTCTTGGGGAAGTAGGGGAGAAGTTTTAAGGGTAGATTGAAGAAAGCATTGGAATGATTCAAAACGCAACTCTTTACCCACTACAGTGACCAAGTTAATTGAGCAATTTAAGGGAGACATTTAGTCTTTTGTCACTCCACAGTTTAGGGAAAGTCAGCATTTAGTTGTTAATTTGTTTTTCTTCAAAAGTTTAACCTACATCTTTTGCTTTGTTTATTTAGTCTTAAGGACCCTACCTGTATTCTAATATTTTACAATGTAGAACATCATTAGTATAATTGCTCAGTCTGTTTATTCAGATCATGAGCTAAATCAGGAAAAATAAACATTTTATAGGTTATTAATAAGAAAGGCATAAAAATGGCAGAATAAGAAAAGTAGAATGGCCGGGCGCTGGTGGCTCATGCCTGTAATCCTAGCTACTCAGGAGGCTGAGATCTGAGGATCACGGTTCAAAGCCAGCCCGGGCAGGAGAAACTGTGAGACTCCTATCTCCAATAAACCACCAGAAAACCGGAAGTGGCGCTGTAGCTCAAGTGGTAGAGCGCTCACCTTGAGCTGAAGAGCTGAGGGACAGCGCCCAGGCCCAGAGTTCAAGCCCCACGACAGACAAAAAATAAAAAAAAAGTAGAATGAAGCTAGGTATGGTAGCACACACATGTAATCATGGGACACTAAGGCAGGAGGATCAAGAGCTTGCAGGCCAACCTAATCTGCATAGTAAGACTGTCTTAAAAAAATACAGAAGGGGGCTGGGAAGGTGGCTCAGTGGTAGAGCGCTTGCCTTGCATGCCTGAGGCCCTGGGTTCGATTCCTCAGCACCACATAAGCAAAGAGAAAAAAGCCGGAAGTGGCGCTGTGGCTCAAGTGGTAGAGCGCTAGCCTTGAGCTGAAGAGCTGAGGGACAGCGCCCAGGCCCAGAGTTCAGGCCCCACAACCGGACCCTCCTCCCCTAAAAAAATAACAAATGTCCGCATCAAAGGTATAAGACATTTAATCCATATTGCTAGATCACCTTGGTTTGCTTGTTTTTATTATTTTTTTTGCCAGTCCTGGGGTTTGAACTCAGGGCTTGAGCACTGGAACTGAGCTTTTTGCTCAAGTCTAGCACTCTACCACTTGAGCCACGGAACTACTTCAGCTTTTATTGTTTATGTGGTACTGAAGAATTGTACCCAGGGCCTTGTGCATGCTAGGCAAGCACTCTACTACTAAGCCACATTCCCAGCCAGATCACCTTAATGTTATAAATCTGCTCTCCAAGAATCACAGGGGCTGGGAATGTGGCGGAGAGGTAGGGTGCTGACCTAGCATGCACAAGGCCCTGGGTTCAATTCTTCAGTACCACATAAACAGAAAAACCTGGAAGTGGCCCTGTGGCTTAAGTGGTAGAATGTTAGTCTTGAGCAAAAGAAGCTCAGGGACAGTGCCCAAGCCCTGAGTTCAAGCCCCAGGACTGGCAAAAAAAAAAAAGAAGAAGAAAAAACTATCATAGCAGTTACAATGATAGACTAAAAAACAAAGAATTGTCTCAGCAGTTTAAACTTTGGCCAACAGCCAAAAACCTGGCAAGCAAGCACACAGGACAGGCTACTCCCTATTTATCCCTAAGGAACCCGTAGCAGGCCCCGCCTTCTGCTTAGATTGCTTGGTGATTGGCTAGTTTGAATAGGGTAAAATGTATTTAAATAAGGTGATTTTGAAATAAGATTAACAGTAAACAAGTAATCTCAAAATATCCTCCCCCCCTCTGCTATTCTTGTACTATCTAAGATGTGTCTTAATTCCATCTTGAAAAGAAACAAGTTTAAGACAAAAACCTTACATTTGAAAAATCCTTCCTTATCCCAAAGCAGTTCTTTTCCTTAACAAGAGCCAATCCACCAAGCCAAAGCAGGAACTTTTAAGCAACTTTTAAGAAAAGACAGTGTTTCTTACGCTTAATACAGGTTTTTGTTTTTGTTTTTTTTTTTTGGTTGTGGGGCCTGACCTCTGGGCCTGGGCACTGTCCCTCAGCTCTTCAGCTCAAGGCTAGTGCTCTACCACTTGAGCCACTTCTGGCTTTTTCTGCTTATATGGTGTTGAGGAATTGAACCTAGGGCCTCATGCATGTGAGGCGAGCACTCTACCACTGAGCCACCTTCCCAGCCCCAGTACTGGTATTTTTGCTTTATCATGTTTCGAACATAATGAAATCAAATTGCTCTGTGTGGAATCTATGTAACTTCTTCCCTTAGTTCCCTCTAGTCTGCAAAGCATGAAGAACTGATAGCATGCTTCATCTTGTATTTCAACAGGTATCAATTGAAATTGAAACTCCTACCCAGGTATCTTTGGTGGATGAAGCCACAGGCGAGGTAACTATGAATTGCTTTTGGATTTTCTTCTTACTGCAACAATGATAGAGTTGCTCTTTCTTTTTGACTTCGAATGCTCATTTAACTGTCCATTAAAATTATTAAACTTTCCGGGGAAAAAAAGCAACCAAGACATTTGTGATTGTTTTAGACCCTGTGAGCTGCTATCACAAATCTGCGGTAGGCTGGGGCGTCTTGCATAATTCTGCTTCACAGAAGGCTGCTATGCACTGTGTTGTCCTGTAAGAGAGGGGCAGAAAGCTCCCCTTTAAAGGGCAGGTCCCCACATGCACCTCCATGTTTATTGCAGCGCTGTTCACAATAGCTAGAATATGGAAACAACCCAGATGCCCCACCACAGATGAATGGATCCAAAAATTGTGGTATCTATACACAATGGAATATTATGCAGCCAATAGAAATGATAAAATAATGGCATTTGCAGGGAAATGGATGAAGCTAGAAGAAATCATGTTTTTTTTTTTTATTTGTGAACATACTGTACAGAGGGGTTACAATTACATGGGCAGGATAATGCGTACATTTCTTACCAAGCATTGCAGCCTCCTCCTTTGGTTTTCCCCCCTCCAGAAGAAATCATGTTAAGCGAGGTAAGCCAGGAGCAAAGAGACAAACGGTATACATGGTCTCCCTGATAAGCGGATGTTAAATCCAAAATGTTAGGTGATACGACAAAATTAACAGGACTCAAGAAACAAAGAACTTCCACTCATCTGGTTGAACCACTACTAAATATCCCCATGCTGCTGATCACATGTATGGTGTATACGAGTACCCCGTTATATGTTATAGACCGTGATAGACAATTTGCTCCAGGAAAGTTAGAATGAACTTGTGACTTTAAATGAGCATCATTATTCCACAATACTGTGAAATTTGGGAAATTATGTAATCACTTAATCACAATAAAAAAAAAAAAACACCAGAAAACTAGAAGTGGCGCTATGGCTCAAGTGGTAGAGCATGAGCCTTGAACTGAATTGTTCAGGGACAGCTCCCAGGCCTAGAGCTCAAGTCCCACGACTGACAAAAAAAAAATGAGAGGTCTTTCATGCGATTGTTTCTAACAATATTTATAAGATTATGTCTTTGTTGCCTTGTATGTCCCTCCCCCACGGTATAACCCCTGCTTTCACTATATATGATGTTGGTAGATGTGGAGGGGAAGGGAAAAAACAAATTGTTAAAACACGGATACAGGAGGACCCATTGCAACAATGAGATGTACAAGTCGTTATGTCGAAAACAAACTTTACAACTTTGGTGGGAGGGACGGGGGGGGGGCGGGGAGCGAAGGGATGGGAAGGGGAAACAAAGGAGGAGGCTACAATGCTTGATAAGAAATGTACTCATTATCTTACCCATGTAATTGTAACTCCTCTGCACAGCATTTTCACAATATAAAAATATATTAAAAAATAAAAATAAAGGGCAGGTCCCCAGTTCAAGCCCCACAATTGACAAAAATAAATTAAAAAATAAAGTAAAATAAAATAAAGGGCAGTGACCCCACCGGGGAGGTCCTCCTTTCAGAACTGAGCCCTCCCTCTGAACAGCCAGGTAAAATCACTTTGGGAGCTAGGAAAAATTCACCCTGTACATTCATTCAGTCCATAAAAGTACTTACTGCCCACATTGAAAGATTTGAGCATGACATTATTATTATTATTTGTTTTACCAGTTCACAAGGGGAACTCTAGTTTTATGTGATGTAATGGGCACATTTATTACCTTTTTTCATACATATTTTTTATTGTAAAAATACTATACAGAGGGGTTACAGTTACATGAGTAGGGTAACGAATACATTTCCTATCAAACATTGTTATCTCTTCCTTTCATTTATTACATTTTATTAGAATTTTTAGGATGTGAAATAATGGTTAATATTTTTAAAGTGAATTTATTTCTCTTTGTTTTGTCGGCCATGGGCTTGAACTCTGGGCCCGGTCGCTGTCCCTAAGCTCTTCAGCTCAAGGTGAGTGCTCAACCACTTGAGCCACAGCGCCACATCTGGTTTTCTAGTGGTTAATTGAAGATAAGAGTCTCATGGACTTTCCTGCCCAGGCTGGCTTTAAACCGTGGTCCTCAGATCTCAGCCTCCTGAGTAGCTAGTGCCACCAGTGCCCAGATCATTGTAACTTTTTTTTTTGGTCCGGTCGTGGGGCCTGAACTCTGGGCCTGGGCGCTGTCCCTCAGCTCTTCAGCTCAAGGCTAGTGCTCTACCACTTGAGCCACAGCGCCACTTCCGGCTTTTTTATTTTTGCTTATGTGGTGCTGAAGAATCGAACCCAGGGCCTCATGCATGCAAGGCAAGCGCTCTACCACTGAGCCACCTTCCCAGCCCTCATTGTAACTTTTTATTGGGTCATTTTCTTTTTACTTTTTTCTTTTTTGTGCCAGTCCTGGGGTTTGAACTCAAGGCCTGGGTACTGTCCTTGAGCTTTTTTGCTCAAGGCTAGTACTCTACCACTTGAGCCATGCTCCACTGTTGCTTTTTAGTGGTTAATTCTAGAGAAGAGTCCTATAGACTTTCCTGCCTGGGCTGACTTCTAACTTTGATCCTCAGATCTCAGCTTCCTGAGTAGCTAGGATTACAGGTGGTAAGCCACTGAGCACCTGGCTCAGACCACATTTTGTTTATCCATTCATTCATTGCTTGACCCACATTAAGATATATTATCTGCTTTATTTATGTAAGTTTTGGTGATTACTTCAGTTGTTGTGTTTTTCTTTTCAGAAGGAGGAGATTGTTGTGACTCTCTTACCAGCAGGTCACTGCCCAGGATCAGTTATGTAAGTGGGGCCCTCTATTTTGTTTCTTTACTATAGATAAACATGTATTTTATGTGTAGAAATCATGTTTTAGGATCTGAAAGATTGCTATGGGTAGGGAAATTTGGCCATTTTTCTGGCCAAGTTCAATCTCTAAAATGAACTTGGGAACCTTGGTGAAGGTTGAATTTGACATGTGGCTTTCTGCTTGGTGGCAGTCTTCAGTAGTTACTTCTCCAGTTATTTTGCTCAGTCTTAGTACCTGGAGCTTTCTCTTCAAGAACGAGATCCCCAGGTTTAATTTTGAGTGGAAACTTAACTACAGGACACACTAACTACATGTCAGTAGTATCTGCATTGTTACTCCTATCTCCGTGTGTGTGTGTGTGTGTGTGTGTGTGTGTGTGTGTGTGTGTGATATACTGTTTTTTATAAAGGATGTGTGTAGTAGGAAGCACTTTCCTTGGATTTGGCAGGTAGAGTATGGGGACAATAGATCTTGTTATCAGCTATCTAGGGTTCCAAGAAGAGTACCAGTGAGGAAACCCCGCTCATGCTTAGGCTGCAGAGCTCAGTGGCATACTGCGCGTGCGTGATTCATTTTCTCCCTCAGTGGCCCAAGTTCCGCTAAAGACATGCCATAGAACTCAGAAATTCTACTTTATCGCTTTATTTAATCGCATGCCCTTTCATCGTGTTTTTGGGGGGTGAGTGGGTGCTGGTTGGTGTTTGGAAGGTAGATCTTCACACAGTTAAGGGCAGGGAAACACTGAGCAGATCACACAGAAGTTTAATTAGGCCGTTGCCCAGGGGACAGGAGCATCCTGCATCCGCACAGCCGCCTTGCCCACCTGCGGGACTTAAAAATCACTGCGTTTCCCTCCTAGCTGGAGGTTGGGTGTAAATAATAAACATCTGAAGTATGTGTAGGGTCCTGTGCCTAGTCACATGGACTCAAGCGTGGTGTATGCGGAGAGCACTGCAGTGGTACAACTCCTTTGAACAAAGAACTCATCATCTAACAAAATGAATACCTGGAGGCTGAAGTGTGGGGTGTGTGTGGGGGGGGTGAGATCAAGAGGAGGGGGCAGATGAACAGAGAGAGGAAGGGTGGGCGAAGGCAGTCATAATACTCATTGTACAGACGTGAAACTGGGACCAGGGAACTTGAGGGCAGGGGTGGATGGGTTTGGGGAGAGACTGAGGGAGAAGATGTGTTGTACCCACAAACTGACATGTTGAATTGAAGCCTTTGTACAACTATTTAAAGATAGTAAAAAAATTGTTTTTGAAATGTCTTTTGATTTTAAAAAAACATTGGCTTTTTAGTGTCGCTTGGTCAAAACCATGTATTATAAATCCATGCATAAGGCAGGCTTCCTGATCTTCCTTTACTAGGACTTTGTCTGAGACTTGCAATATTTCCTCTTCAGGTTTTTGTTCCAGGGCAACAATGGAACTGTGTTATACACAGGAGATTTCAGACTGGCTAAAGGAGAAGCTTCTAGAATGGAGCTTCTGCACTCTGGGGGCAGGTACTGGACTTTCTCTACTTCTTGACTTTTTAAAGGAAATGTTACTGTTCATTTACCACCAAACACAAGCTTTTGTTCCTATTGAAAATCAAATATGGGCTCTGGTGTGGTGGCACATGCCTGTAATCCCACCCAGTTACTCAGGAGACAGAGGTAGAAAGACAAAGTTAGCATTCAATCTTAACTGAAAAACTGTAAAGCAAAGAACTGTTGGCATGGCCTTGGAAGTTCAAGGCCCTGTGTCAATTCCCTGGTGCTACAGAATGAAATGAAAAAATTGATGGTAATGATTAAATTGTTCAACTTGAAATGGGCCCATAGAACTTTCTGTGGGTTGAATGGAGTAGATGGCTTTGTCAAAATTGATTGGATCCTTCATTTAAAATCTATAGTGTGTTGTTTAGAAAAGATTTCCCCATAAAATGGCTTAATGTAATTAGAATTCCAAATGGAACAGAGCTCCCTGTAAAATAATTTTACATGTAATTTATGTCACATGATATGTATGACTCACACGCTTTTTCTTTTTCAGGGTGAAAGACATCCAGAGCGTTTATTTAGATACTACTTTCTGCGACCCAAGGTTTTATCAAATTCCAAGCCGAGTAAGTCTGCCTGGAAAATGGGTGATGGTTGGGCATAGCTGTGTGTCTAGCTGGATAAGTGTGGGATGACGGGTGCTACTTGTGTTGGAGAGAGATGCATGGGGTAAGGTTCTTCAGAGTGTTCAGTGTTTCTTAAAACTCCTATGTAGGAGGAGTGCTTAAGTGGAATCTTAGAGCTGGTTCGAAGCTGGATCACAAGGAGTCCGTACCATGTGGTGTGGCTGAACTGCAAGGCAGCGTATGGCTATGAGTATCTATTTACCAACCTCGGTGAAGAACTTGGGGTCCAGGTACTGTGGCCTTTGCTCTTCCCTTCCATCCTCCCTACTTCATCCTCCTTTCCTGTCCCCCCTCCTCACCTCCCTGCCTTCCCCTTCCCCTGTGCCCAGGAGTAATTTCTGGTCACCTGCTTCTATTGGTTATTTCCTGCAGGTGCACGTGGACAAGCTGGACATGTTTAGAAATATGCCCGACATCCTCCACCATCTCACAACAGATCGCAGCACTCAGGTCCATGCGTGTCGGCATCCAAAGGTATTGTGTGTGTGTGAATGAGTACTTCCTATTTTTCTCAGCGTCCCTGCAGGGCAGAAACCTTCCTGTATATCAAGGACTCATAGATTCTGGTTTTTATTTTTTTCTTGGGTGCTGTCAAGGCTGGCACTCTACCACACTTCTACTGCAGGCTTCTTGGTGGCATAGAGTCTCATGAAATAGTCTTCCCTGAGCTAGGTTCAAACCATGATTCTCGTATCTTGCCTCCTGAGTTGCTAGAATCACAAGCATGAGTCACGGTGCATGGAGAGATTGTTTTGAGGTTTTTCATGATCCTAAGGTGGAAATCATACATCTATGTATAACTGTATCCCATGAACATATGCTTCAGGATTAATAATAGGCAAACTCTGAGTTCTTCTTTGTAATGAAATTTAGCCTGAGACATTTATTTGTAGTAAAAGTAGTTACATGGTATAACCTACAACTTATACAATATGTTCATATTCCACTACTATTTTTTGTTGTTGTTGTTGGTCATGGGGCTTGAACTCTGGGCACGTGAACTACAGGGCTACTTCCAGTTTTCTGGTGGTTAATTGGAGATAAAAAAAAACAAACTTAAAAAAAAACCTTTTAGTTTTATTTTGAAAGCTTTTTTGATTTTTTGTCAGTCATGGAGCTTGAACACAGGGCCCAGGTGCTATCCCTGAGCATCTGTGCTCAAGGCTAGTGCTATTCTGGCTTTTTCTGAGTAATTTATTGGAGATAAGAGTCTCTCATAGACTGGGCTGGCTTTGGTGATCCTCAGATCTCAGTCTCCTGAGTAGGTAGGATTACAGGTCTTAGTCACTGGCACCTGGCTTTAAAAATCCTTTTAAGTAGTAAAGTTGACAGATTTGTTCAAAGAAGATGATTGCCTTCAGCACAGAAGCCCTTTTACACCAGGATAGTTCTCTCACATAACTGCAGTCTGATTCCCTGACTCAGGAACTTTAGCATCAGTATAGTACTAGTAGTAGCTAGAGTGCAGAATTCCTATTCAGAATAGACTTCCCCTGCTGTCCTTTATAGATTTTGGAGAGAGGAGCCATCCAGGAGTTCACTAAGGGTCATACATTGCTGTCAGTCTGCCTTGAATGGTCTCTGGATTTGGTGTCCAGCCTTTTTCTTTCTCATTCTGAATTCGGAACCGTCCAGCCCAATCATCGTTCAAAATGTTTCTCAAGTTGGAATCACTCACTTGTTTCTTCATGTCTGAAAACTTAACCTACATTTATATAATTTTACAATTAGATAAGTTGGCAAATGGTATTGAAAATCTGTAATATGTGTTCATCTTCTTTTAGGCAGAAGAATATTTTCATTGGAATAAATTACCCTGTGGGATGATTTCCAAAACTAAAGTTCCACTGCACACAATCAGTATTAAGCCATCCACCATGTGGTTTGGAGAAAGAACGAGGAAAACAAATGTAATTGTGAGGTAAGAAAGCAAGGACACACAGGGCGCTGGTGGCTCACACCTGTAATCCTACCTACTCAGGAGGCTGAAGACCCGAGGGTTATGATTCAAAGCCACCTGGGGCAGAAAAGTCTGTTAGACTCTTGTGTCCAATTAACCAACATACACAAAAAGCTGGAAGTGGTAGAGGGCCAGCCTTGAGCAGAAAAAACAAAGCAAGAGCTTAAGTCCCTAAGTTCAAACCCTCGTACTAGCATAAAAACAAATAAAATTTTAAAAGGGGATATGCTCTAATTCTAGGAAATAATTTCTTTAATTCACAACTTAAACTAAAGGGATGTTACTTCCAGTTCCATACTAGCCGGTGTACCCAGAAGTCTGTTGTAGTGAGAAGATTAGATGTGATGGTTGGAGCCCCAGGGAATCTGAGTGCTGTGAATTAAAGAGTTGTTGATGGAGAGCGTGGAATTCATTGGAAAGAGGCCTTTCCAGTGATACCACCTGAGCGGCGTTGAGTTGTTTAGAATGTTGGAGAACAGATTTCTACTTCTAGAAAACGTTTACTCCTGTCCCAAGAAATTGTTTCTGGTTATTGGATGGTGTTATCTTGGAATAGCCTAAATGGGAAAGGTGTGAACTTGGTTCAGTTTGTTTTTTTTTTCCTCAGTGACTTTTTTTTAATGTCAGTTGTGGGGCTTGAAACTTGGCCTGGGCACTGTTCCTTAGCTCTTCAGCTCAAGGCTAGCACTCTGCCACTTGAGCCACAGTGCCACTTCCGTTTTTTTGGTAGTTAATTGGAAATAAGAGTCTCATGGACTTTTCCAGCCTGGGCTGGCTTTGAATTGTGATCTTCAGATCTCAGCCTCCTTAGTAGCTAGGATTACAGGTGTGAGCCACTAGCACCTTGATTTCAGTGACCTTTTTTTTTTTTTTTTTAAGATTCTTGAAACACTTTACCATGTGTTTTCCAGGAAAAATACAACACCACCCATCAGAAAAATATAAGTGCATTTAATTATAATCTCATTAGTATTGAATATGGTTTAATCTTTGCTGATGTTATTTAGAAAATGGTATTACATTATCACAGTATTTATTTGTGAAGAACACTTCTGCATACTTACTAGTCAATGCTTTCTCTTTTGAAACTAATAATCACATCTTTCCTTTTCAACTCTAATAATGTATTCATTCACTTGTTCAACTATCTATTTGGTGCTTGTCCTGGGGCATGAACTCTGGGCCTGAGCACTGTTCTTGAGCTTTTGTGCTCAAGGCTAGTGCTCCACTAGTTGAACTACAGCTCCACATGCAGCTTTTGTTGCTTAATTGTAGGTAAGAGTCTCACAGACTTTCCTGCCTGGGCTGGCTTTGAACTACAATTTCAGATCTCAGCCTCCTAAGTGGGTAGGATTACAGATGTGAGCCACTTGTGCCTGGCCTATTTTTTAATTGTTATTATAAAGTGATTTACAGAGGGGTTTACAATTATATAAGTTGGGCAAAGAGTACATTTCTTTTTGGACAGTGACACTTCTTTTGTTTCTTAAGGAAAAAACAACTTGTTTCCACTTCCTGGAATTCACTTTGATACATGTCTTATATGATCAGAGGCACAGTCACTGATGTTTTCCTGTTGTGTGTGTGTTTGCTTTAGGACGGGGGAGAGTTCCTACAGAGCCTGCTTCTCCTTCCACTCCTCCTTCAGTGAGGTAAGGGGCTCCCCTAGCTCAGGCCTGAGCTGTTGTGCAGCATTCAGGGTGAGAAGGCTTCCTTCATGTCTGTTCATTGATCTCCTTTCCTTTCAGATAAGTTTTAGAAACAGGTGATGCTTCTTGTGCATGGATTCTGTACTTATTTGTTTGCTGATTTATGATGACACAGCTGTCAACTCCACATTAATATTTACAGTGCTTTAGGCACCTTGGCAGACATAGTGAAAATGTGGACCACTTGATAACACATGTGATTGGCAGTACCAGTTGACACAATGCCTTTTTTTTTGCTGGTCCTGGGGATTGAACTCAGGGCCTGGGCACTGTCCCTGAGCCTCATTGTACTCAAGGCTAGCACTCTACCACTTGAGCCACAGTACCACTTCTGACTTTTTCTGAGTAGTTTTTTGGAGATAAGTGTCTCACAGACTTTTCTACTAGGGCTGGCTTTGAACTTCAGTCCTCAGATCTCAGCCTCCTGAGTAGCTAGGATTACAGGCATGAGCCACCAGCGCCTGGCCATTGTCTTCTTGTTTTAGCTTTTTGTATTACAAACAAGGGTTCTTTTTGTAATCTAATGAATGCCATCATTTTCAAGTGTTTTTTTTTTTTTGTCAGTCATGGGACCTGAACTCTGGGCGTGGTTGTTGTCCCTCAGCTCTTCAGCTCAAGGCCAGTGCTCTACTACTTGAGCCACAGTGCCATTTCGGCTTTTTCTGCTTATGTAGTGCTGAGGAATCAAACCCAGGGCCTCATGCATGCAAAGCAAGCACTCCACCACTGAGCTACCTCTTCCCAGCCCATTTTTCAAGTGTTTATGCTTTTTATTTTTCTGTCAGTCATGGGACTTGAACTTAAGGCCTGGGTGCTTTCCCTGAGCTTTTTTGCTCAAAGCTAGCTACCACTCTACCACTTGACCCACAGTGCCACTTCCAGTTTTTAGGTGGTTAATTGGAGATAAGATTCTCATGGACTTTGCTGCCTGGGCTAGCTTTGAATTTGGATCCTCAGATCTCAGCCTTCTGGGTAGCTAGGATTCTAGGCATGAGCCACCAGCACCTGGCTTTTTAAATTTAATTTTTAAAATTTATTATTATAAAGGTGATATACAAAGGGGTTACTGCAGGAAATGAGTGTATTTCTTTCTGGACAGTGCCATCCCTTCCTATGCTCTCTTCTAGTTTTCCCTTCATGATCTTGTGTTGTTTTTTTTTTCCATTTCCTGGAATTCATTTCAATAAACATAATTTTATTCTATCAGATGCACACACCTTGTTTTCTTATTTGCATTCTAGTTAACTCAGTTATAGTTAACTCACCTGAAAGATTTGTTAAATATGAGCATCTGACTTTTTTGGAGGAGACAAGGAGATTCTATACTGAAAATATGGAATCTTTGAGTCCCATTAATCAGGCTCCTGTGGAGCAGATCCCCTGAGTGGAGTTGGAGTGTCCTGGCTCCCAAGACCTGCTGCAGCTCTGTGTTGCAGTGAATTTGGAGAGGGGCCCCCAGTGTTGCCTATTTTTCTCAAGAGGTTTCCGGATGATGTCCCATGTGTAGCCAGCACCAAGAACCACAACCATACAAATTTTGCTTCTCTTTCCCATGGCTTCCTCTTAAGCCTTCTTCAACACCCCAGATTTTCACTGTAGAGATTAATTGTTCCTTTTATGTTCCCCCTAGATAAAAGATTTCTTGAGCTACATCCGTCCTGTGAACGCATACCCAAATGTCATTCCTGTAGGTATAACTCTGGATAAAGTTAAAGAAATGTGAGTAGTTCCTACTTGTGGGCCATGCCGCTCCCTTGCTGGGTTTTGTCTAGGAGACAAAAGGGTGCTTTTGCCTCCAGGTTTAAAAATGTAGAACCTATTTCTTTCATTCATTTCCATGTTTCCTTTCCATTCTTTGCATAGCTGAATGTCCAAGGAGTGTTGCCATGTTGTCCTCAGTTGAGTCTTAGCTCCACCATTTCCTTATGTGACTTGGTCAGACAAGATGGCAATTTAACTGACAGATAGAAGCAGGCCTAATGTTGAGAACCAAATATGCCATAAAGGGTTAAATTTGAACATACGATGGAGTGGTTGTTAAATGCGTGCCCCCTAGCTTATATTTCTACCGAGCAATTGTGCACTAGGCAGAGAATGACCTCCATTTGCACAAAGAAGTGGTAGCACAGCAGAGGTTCTAGAAGGTTCCAGGAGATGGATATGAATAGGGATTGTAGGATGTGGAGGCCTTGTGGTGGGCAAGGGATCTTTGAGGCTCTCTACAGGTGGGATGCTAGGTTTTTTGCTACCTGGCAGAAGCAAGCAGGTGCAATGAGAGGAAAACCCCTTCAAATCTTACTTCTGTGTCTTAGCTTTCAGCCTGTGGCTCTAGAATGAGATCAAATTTGTTAGATTCCTGCAAGATGTAAATAAATCCCATTGAGTGGGATCTGGGAAACAGCAGTGTTTTGTGAATGCCAGAGGCCGTTGTCTTACTGTTTTAGGATAGGGTCCTACTGGTCTGTGTTGTAAGAGCAAAGATCAAAGGTTTGTTTTAGTCTACTAGCAATTCCTTCACTTCTGCCAATTCTACTGGTTGTATTCAAGGACTTGTATTTACCACTTATATACTGAAGTCAAGTTGTCATTATTATTATTAAGCATTATTTTCAGTGTTTAAAAGTATGGTATGCTGGGTACTGGTGCCTCACACCCATAATCCTAACTATTCAGGAGGCTGAGATCTGAGGATTATGGTTGGAAGCCAGTCTGGGCAGGAAAGTTCATGAGACTTTTATCTCTAGTTAACCCCCAGAAAGCCAGAAGTGACATTATGCGTCAAAAAGTGGGAGAGCACTAGCCTTGAGCAAAAGAACTCAAGGACAGAGCCCAGGCCCCGAATTGAAGGTTCACAAGGGACAAAAAATAAAAAATAATAGAAAAGTAGTGGTGTGTTTTCTCCTGTGCCATTTTTTTTCTAAGATCTATAAGTGATGTTTGCCTCCCAGCAGCTCTTCCCAAAGGAAACATCAAATATTCTCATTAATTTCAGCTTAAAGCCTTTATGTCGGTCTTCCCAAAGCACTGAACCAAAGTATAAGCCCCTTGGAAAGCTGAAGAGAGCTAGAAAAATCTACCTAGACTCAGGTAAGAATGGTCCTGGGTTCAGTGGTGTGGATTTCCTGCAAAGACTGCTTCTCAGGGTGTTCTGGTTCGTGAATGTGACCTTGACAATTTAAAAAAAAAAAAAGAGTAAAGGAGTTTGCCAAACCCTGGTAGCTCATGCCTGTAATCCTATCTCAGGAGGCTGAGATCTGATGATTGCTGTTTGAAGCCAACTTGTATAGGAAAGTCTGTGAGACTCTAATCTCCAATAAACTAATCAGAAAAAGCCAGAAATAGCACTGTGGCTCAAGTGGTAGAGCACTAGCCTTGAACACAAAGAGGGCTCAGACAGCGCCCAGGCTTTGAGTTCAAGCCCCAGGACCAGAAGGGAAGGAAGAGTGAAGGAGTTAAAACTCCTGGAGGAGTCTACAATGAGTAAGTTTTGGCCAAATAAGTGAATTGGCAGCTTTTGAAAGGGACAAATTCTCTGAAACAGCCAAAATTACTCAAGAACAAAACTTGACTACTTAGTCCTATTACTATTAAAGACACCAAATTTGTAGTTAAAACTTTTCCCCAGTGAAAATCTTGGTCTAGGTAAGTTCTACAATGCTAATTCACCATAAGCTTTCCCAGAAAACAGAATAGAGGAACACTTCACAACAAATGCAGCAGTGTTCTGATACCAAACTATACAAGGTTCGTCAGAATATCCTAAAATAAGAGGCCTTTTGTCTTTGATTGTGCAGTTCCAACAACTAAAAACATAGGTAATGCTACCAATGACATGATCATTGAAAGCACAAGCTGACTCCCTTTCCCTTTATCTTGTCTTTGTCTTGTACACCTGTCTCACTTGCTCCACAGAGGAGGAAGACGATCTCTTTGATGACCCCCTGCCAGTACCTTTAAGGCACAAGGCTGCACACCCAGTAACTCTTGAGCCTGGGGTATTTCCAATAACTGCACTATCACAAAACCAGCCAGAGAAACTGATGCAAAGCATCGAATGCTGCAAAGCAGAGAATATTCAAAGCTCTTCTTTGGCCAACTTTATAGATTGTGAAGAATCCAACAGTGAAAGTGAAGAAGAATCAGAAATCCCACCTACACTGCCTAGAGCTCTGGGCTCTGAAGAATTTCCCCAGCAGAGTGCTGATGTGGATGTACCACAATGGGAAGTATTCTTTAAAAGAAATGATGACATCACAGATGAGGGTTTGGAAATTTTCCCTTCTTCCACAGACACAGGGGGCTCTCAGTCACCCAAGCTTTTCAGCGACTCTGATGGGGAATCAACCCATGTTTCCTCCCAGAATTCTTCTCAGTCAACACATATAACAGAACAAGGAAGTCAAGGCTGGGATAGCCAGTCTGATACTGTTTTGTTATCTTCCCAAGAGAAAAACGTGGGGGATTTTACCTCTTTGAACCAAGGTGTCAAGAAAGCAAAAGCCAAAGAGAACATTCCTGCCTCACAGATGGAACAAAATGTACTCTTCCCAAAGGACATTCACTCTGATGTTAAGAGCAGAGAGCAAGAAACAAGCATAGTTCCTAGTGTGGAAGGACCAACTATTGTGAGCGATGAGGAACAGCTACCTTTGGAAGAAAGGTTGCTGTGTCTTAGCTCAAGTGCAGATTCACAGAATTCCTCTGACTTTGAAATTCCCTGCACTCCAGAAGCTGAGTTACCTAGACAAGAACACTTACGTTATTTATATGAGAAACTGGCAAAAGGTCAGAGTATAGTAGTTGACAAAAGAAAATGCTCACTTTTAGATACTTAACACTTGGTCCTACAACAGTCATTAAAAATATTTCACAAAATGGCAAGTTACAATGAATCAAAATTTTCAAGTCAGCCGGGTGCCAGTGGCTCACACCTGTAATCCTAGCTACTCAGGAGTCTGAGATCAGAGGATCAAGGTTCAAAGCCAGCCTGGGCAGGAAAGTCCATGAGACTCTGATCTACAATAAACCACCAGAAAACTGGAAGTGGCGCTGTGGCTCAAGTGGTAGAGTGCTCGCCTTGAGCTGAAGAGCTGAGGGACGGTGCCCAGGCCGAGTTCAAGCCTTCAGCACTGACCAAAAAAATTATTTTTCAAGTCATTTTTTAAAGGAAGGATATAAAGGGAAACATGAAAAAGAACAGAGGAAGGAAATAAACACCTAAAATGATAGAACTACATCTGAAAAATTAATTACACTAGCTGGATGCTGGTGGCTCACGCCTGTACTCCTAGCTACTCGAGGTTAAGATCTGAGGTTTGTGGTTCAAAGCCAGCCGGGGCAGGAAAACTCTATGAGACTATTATCTCCAATTAACTACCAGAAATCTAGAAGTGGCACTGTGGCTCAAGTGGTAGAGTGCTTGCCTTGAGCTGAAGAGCTCAGGGAGTGTCCAGGCCCAGAGTTCAAGCCCCATGAGTGACAAAACAAAACAAAAATAATTACACTAAATATAATTACTACACACTAATGAAAAAACAGACTCAGGGATAGAACTAGAGCCCACCTATGTGATGTCTACAAGAAACTTAAACCAAGTGATCAAGTTAAAAGTGAAGGGATAGAAAAGGCATATCATATAAACATTTAAAGAGAAGTGGCTATATTATTTCCTAATGACATAAGGTCTGCTTCATTAAGAAAGCATAATCCTAAATGTGTATGCTTTAACAGTTTCAAATACATGGAGCCAAACCAGCTGAGAAATTTAAGCTCAATATATTAATATACTTCTCTTAGTAAGAGAAATAGTATATATACAAAAAATAAGAATTGAGTGAAACTATTGACCAGCTAGACCTAACTGAAATTTAGAGGACACTCCAACATCTTTTGGAAGTATGAATAGAAAATTCACCACATTACATATCCTCAGTCATGAAAAATAGTTTAGGAGAATTAACTTGAATCTACTACAATAAAACTGTTGGTTCTAGGGGAGGAAAATCAGGATCTTATCTCAAAAGATGTTGGACCTCTTTAAAAATAATAATTTTATTATTAAAGTTTTGTGGAGAGGTATTACCAATTCATAAGTCAGTTAATGACATGGACAATGTTCCCCCCTTTGCTCACTGCTGTACCTCTTATAAAACCTTGGAGCTGGGTGAGGGTCTACAAGCTTGTAATCTCAGCTACTCAGGAGGCTTAGGCAGCAGGATCTTAAGTTCTAGGCCAGCCAGGGTAACTTAGCAAGATCTTGGTATGAATAGGGTGATAAAAATAGAACAATTAGGATGGTTGAGAATTAAATGGCTAGACTGGCTGGAGCTTAGCATCTACACCAGACAAGTGTGCATTGGTGAGCAAGCTGATAAAAAAGCTGAATCTGGGTGTCCATCCCAAGATGAAGGTGAAGAAATGCTCACTCAGTCTTGAGTTTCCACTGCAAGGCAAGGCAAGGTACAGAGGCTAGAGCTGACTCTGTCTGAATCTCCACTCCGAGACAAGGAAGGGTGAAGAAGTGAGCAACCTGGCTGCCCAGAACTCAGCATCTGGGCCTGCCCCTAGTCAATGAGGAGCACTGGAGTGAGCCAGATCTACAGAGCACCTAACCTGGTTGGCGTATGTCTATACACAAGTGGTAGACACTGTTTGTCCTTTATCTTCCAAAACATTCAACTGGAGGTCTAGGAAGAAAACAAAACTTCAGTACAGTCAAGCCAGAGCTATCCTGAGCCAGGCAAAGCTGAGGCATTTAGAGGGGCAGTGATTAACCACTAGTTGGCTCAGACTTCTGCCACCCAATACCTTTTCGCTGTCACATTCTGGGAACTACCCCACAGAATCCAGGCAGAGTTGCTCAACTCTGGAATTGCTGCTATTAAACAAGATCTTCCCTGCCTCCAGCTGGTGACCCTAACCTAGGCCTAAACTGCAGGCAGAAATCTAAGGACCACCCAGGTGCCAGTGGCTCACACCTGTAAGCTTAGCTACTTAGAAAAGGTTAAGATCTGACAATCATGGTTTGAAGCCAGTACAGGCGGAAAGTCCGTGAGACACTTATCTCCAATAAACTATGCAACAGTCAGAAGTGTGCTGTGGCTTAAATGGTTGAGCATTAGCATTGAGCAAGAAGGCTCAGGGACAGTGTCTGGTCCCTTGAGTTCAAACCCCAGGGCCGGCAAAAAGAAAAAAACTGAGGACTAGGGACTACAGGAAATCATCCATTATATTGCTACAGTGCAGCATTTGCTCTTCAACAAGGAAAAAATAAATTTAAAAATATTTTTCAAATATTTTATATTGTCATCTCTTTACTCTCCTATCTTTTGTTTATAAATTGTTCATCAGGTGTTTTATTCTGTCTCCTCCTTTTTCCTTATTTTCTATCCCTTTGCAACCTTTGACAACACCACCTTCTAGAAGAATTGAAATACAGGAACTGGAGGCACATCTTAAGTGGTAGAGCACCACCAGACTTGAGCAAAAAAGTCAAGTGAGAACATGAGGTCTAGTTCAAGTCCAAGTGCTGACACACAGAAAATTGAAATACATTTGTGCACAATAGTATATTATCTTCAGTGCTCAAAACTTCACTGTCAAGCCAGGTGCCAGTAGCTCACACCTGTAATCCTAGCTACTCAGGAGGCTGAGATCTGAGGATTGTAGTTTAAAGCCAGCCTGGGCAGGAAACTCCGTGAAACTCTTAATCTCCAATAAACTACCAGAAAACTGGAAGTGGCGCTGTGGCTCAAGTGGTAGAGCACTAGCCTTGAGCTGAGGAGCTGAGGACAGCGTTCAGGCCCAGAGTTCAAGCCCCATGACCTCATTTCTCCTAATTTTCTAACTCCTATTCAAATAAAACTTATTTTTCTAAACCTCCACTGTGCCATTAGAGAATGATAGTTCCATTTATATATAACATGACTGGTTGTATAGATAATATTGCCAATGGTATATTATACTTCATGTATGTATCTGGTTTGTTGAAATGGTGAATTGTTATTTATAAATTAGACCCCTAGGGGGTGAGAAGTGGATGCTAATCCTGCCAATACTAGTCTTGCCAGGACATATGAAACAATTCAGTGGAAAGACTTCAGGTTACTAAAGGCTGTCAGCCAATGAATTGACTACAGATGACCAAATACCAAAGTAGAAACACAAAATATGAGAAAAGAAACATGATATGAAAAAATTCAACATTCAAGAAAGGATTGGAATGATAGTGGATTAAAGGAAATCTCAATTACTCAGGACTATGGCAAGAATGATCAATGAGATGAAAGAGGACATGCATAAATGTCTAAAAAAATAAAATAATACAAGAAAACAAAAGACAGAAATTTAATTGAGATGATACAATTAGAAGTGGCAAGTAACCTATAAAGTCAAGTCCATCAGAATAACATTAGATTTCTCAACAGAAACCATGAAAGCAGGGATGGAATGAGATATTTTAAGTGCTGAAGTAACTGGTATCCTAGATAACTAGCAAACCATTCATAAATGTAAAATAAAACCCTTCTGTGATGAACAGAAACAAGTGATTTATGACCCCTAAAGCACTGCAGAAGATACTCAAAAGGAAACCTATACACCAAAGATGAAGATAGGGGCTGGGAAGGTGGCTCAGTGGTAGAGCGCTTGCCTTGCATGCATGAGGCCCTGGGTTCAATTCCTCAGCACCACATAAACAGAAAAAGCCAGAAGTAGCACTGTGGCTCAAGTGGTAGAGTGATTGCCTTGAGCTGAAGAGCTGAGGGATAGCGCCCAGGCCCAGAGTTCAAGCCCCACGACCAACATCAACAACAAACAAACAAACAAATGAAGATACATGAAAATACAGAGGGGAAAAAAAAATCACACCAGATGAGTAGATAAGCAAGTGAAAAGCAGGACTCATGCTACAGTAATAGCAGGAATTACTCTATATCTTTCAATACCAACTCTGAATGCTGTCATCTCAGTTTTCCCAAAGACAGAGTCTGGTGAGTTGGAGTAAAAAGCAAGACCACCATTTACTGCATACAAGAACCATATCTCACTGGAAAAAACAAAAAACAAAAAACCACACACATACAAAACCAAAAGGGTGGAAAAATGTCTTCCAAGCAAATGGACTCTGGAAACAGTCCATTGATAGGTATACTGATCAGAGTACATATCAAATCAACATTAGAAGACTGACCATTTCATACTATTAAAGAACAATCGTGAAAATAACAGTTGCTAACATGTGTACCAAATGTAGCTCACCAAACTTCATTAAACCAACACTACTAAATTTAAAAGCACAGATAGACTCCCCAAAACAATATTAGGGGAATTCACCTCCTCATGCTCACAAAAAAATATCAGTTAAAAATCAACAAACTTCAGAATTCAGTTGGAAGTAAGCTGGGTGCCAGTGACTCATGCCTGTAATCCTACCTACTCAGGAAGCTAAGATCTAAAGATTTTGGTTAAAAGCTAGCTCACACAGGGTCTTACCTCCAGTTAATCACCAAAAAGCCAGAAGTTGAGCTGTGGTTCAAATGGTAGTGCACCAGCCTTGAGCAAAAAGAAGCTTAAGGACAGTGCCCCTGAGTTGAAGTCCCAGGACTGGCACAAAGAACAAAAAAGTCAAGTATGGTTTTAGGCCTAGAAGCTGTGATTTTTTTTTTTCCGTCAGTTGTCGGGGCCTCTGGGTGCTGTTCCTCAGCTCTTCAGCTCAAACCTAGTGCTCTACCACTTGAGCCACAGCACTACTTCTGGCTTTTTTTTTTGTCAGTCGTGGGGCTTGAACTCTGGGCCTGGGTGCTGTCCCTCAGCTCTTCAGCTCAAGGCGAGCGCTCTACCACTTGAGCTACAGCGCCA